TCAAATCAGGACTGAACTGCCTCTGGAGGCAAAAATTTTGAAGACGAAGCTGTCCTCCTTCGGGCACATCATGAGAAGGTGAGAATTATGATTCATAACGTTATTGTCGGCCACCTTGCTGTTTTTCTGTTTGTCTAGTGCCTGCAGTATTATATAACGTTTCATATTTTTTCTTGTAGACTGCAATTGGCTAGATGGGTGGTATAAGAGTCAAATAAATAAATAAACAACTATTTGGAAAAGACAATAACCCTAGGAAAGAGGGAAGGCAGCAGGAAAAGAGGAAGACCAAATATGAGATGGACTGACTCCCAAAAACTTGAGTTTTCAAGAGCTGAGCAGAAAAGTCAAGGCGAGGACAGTCTGGAAATTGCTCATCCATAAGGTCACCATAAGTCTGGGACAACTTGATGGCACAGAACAAGAGCAAAAAGAAAATGCAAACCAACGTCAAGTGGACCTCTCATGCTTGTGATGTGCTATAATCAAGTCATGTGTCAGCTTTTAATATCTATGCTGGGGGGGGGAGACCAAACAGCTGAGACTCTTCCCATCTGAAATATACAGGAGTTAGGAGAAGGGGGGGGGCGTATGTAATTTTATAAACTTAAAAAAATGCCATGTGGCTGATCTGTGATTTCATAATTGGAATGCTTCCTTGTTCTCTTCTGAAAAGAAACAACGAAGCATCTCTGACCCCTAAAAAAAGAAATGTTAACCCTTTGAGGAAGCCTAAGCTTTTGCTTTAAAAAAATAAAATAAGAGGAACTACATAGCCAAGGAAATGCCCCTGGTTACAAAACAGCATCTTAACATTTGCCAGTCTCCTCCAAGGTTATGATTTACTGAAGACCTCAGAGCCCAAGATGCTTCATCAAAGCTCTGTGATGACACCTGGTGGCTTTCTGAGAGGTGACATGTTAGCAGCTTCTGGAACCAGAATAGGGGAAGTGGAGGAAATGCACCAGAAAAATACAACTAGCTGACTCTATGCACCTCGGTTGTGTTCCATTTAACTTCATTACTAGCAGGCTCACCTTCTGCCCACCCTATGCACAAATGTCTGCTTGGAACAGATAGGGGCTCCCGGAGTTGCATCGGCTTGTGTGTTTGTGTGTGTAACATTTGTCGTTGTTCTTACATGCTGTCAAATCGCCTCCAATTTACAGTGACCCTATGAATGAACAACCTCCAGAATGCCCTATCCTGCTCAGGTCTTGCAAACTCAAGCCTGTGGTTTCCTTTAGGGAATCAATCCATCTCCTATTTTGTCTTCCTCTTTCCCTGCTGCCTTCCGCCTTTCCCAGCATTCTTGTCTTTTCCGAAGAATCCTGCCGTCTCATGATAAGCCCAAAGTTGGGCAACCTCCGTTTCAACAGTTTTGCCTTCAGAGAGAGTTCAGGATTGATTTGATCCAGAACCCACTTCTTTGTCTTTCCGGCAGTCCAGAGCATCCATGAAGCTCTCTTTCAGCATGTCCTTTGAAACAAATCAATTTTTTTCCTGCCAGTTTTTTTTTAACTGTCCAGCTTTCACACTTGTTCATAGAAATGGCACTTTGAATTGTGCCTGGGAACAGATAGGCAGCCACTAGAGTTGTTGTGATCGGGCTGGCTGGCTGGGAGGTGATCCCTGTGACCAGCCCCAATTCGTTTCACAATCTGGCTGCCGTATTTTGGACCCACTGAAGTTTCTGAACACATTTCAAAGGCAGCCCCACATACAACGTGTTACAGTAAGCTGGCCAGGATGTAACTGTGTAATCATGGCCAAGTCAGACCTCTCAAGGAATGAGCCCAACTGGCACATGAATTTTAATTGTGAAAATGCACTCCCCAGCAGCAGCAAAACCAGGTAATCCAGATTCCTATACTTAATGATATTTTCTAATACCTTCATTGCTGCCCTTCTGAGTCTCAGTCTTCTGATTTCTCGGCTGCTGTCTCCATTTGGATTGGTGATTGAACCACGGAATAAAAAATCTATTATTTTAGGTTTTTATTACCAATAATAAAAGTTGTGTACTTCTTCCGTAGTCATGATTTTTGTCTTTTTAATGTTCAACTGCAGTTCAGCTTTGGCACTTTCTTCTTTCACTCCCACTAAAAGTCATTTCAAGTCATTGGAGCTTCTCGCCAGTATGACGGTGTCATCTGCATATGTTAAATTATTGCTGTTTCTTTTACCAACTTCCACTCCTCTTGTCTTTCTGTATGTACAGATTGACCTGATAAGGGGATAAAATTGAACTCATAAGGTGATACAAGTCTTGTCTGATACTTTTGTCTATAGGAAACCATTTTGTCTCTCCATATTCTGTCCTTCTCGTCCACAATACAAGTTATGCATCACAACAATCATGTGCACACCCATTTCTTTCAGAACAACTCATAGTTGTTTATGAGAAACCATTCTGTCTCTCCATATTCTGTCGTCGTCCACAATACAAGTTATGCATCACGACAATCACGTGCACACCCTTTTCTTTCAGAACTCATAGTTGTTTATGATCCACATAGTCAAAGGCTTTGCTGTAGTCTATAAAGCACAGACCAGTCTTCTGAAATTTGCTACAAAGCTCCATCAGCTGGTGGATATCTGTGATATTGAATGTCTTTTCCTTTTTTGAATCCAGCTTGAGCACCAGCTATTTCTTGCTTCATATAAAGTAAAAACCTTTGTTGCAATACCTTGATAATCACTTTGCTTACATGGGGAATTAACTTCTTGGTTTCTCTTTTCTTGGTGGTTAGAATGTATATTGATCATTTCCTGTCTGTGGGACATTTTGTTTTTCATACTTATTTGCATGAATGTATATTGAACATTTCTAGTCTGTGGGACATTGTTTTGTTTTTCATGCTTATTTGCATTTTCTAGTTAGGATTTTGACAGATTCATTTTCTGTGGCTTGAAATAGTTCTATCGGTAGTCCATCTACCTCTGGCGATATATTTGTTCCTAGTGCTTTCAGATTCCACTGCATCCAACTTCTCTTTATTTTTATCCTGATTAAATAGGGTCCTTCCTGGTTGGTAATTCAACATTCCTAATCTAGCCTTAGAGGATTCCTTTTCAAAGGAGTCTGTCATCCCTGTATAGATCTGTATAAATCTTAAGTATACTGCATCCAACTTCTCTTTATTTTTATCCTGATTAAATAGGGTCCTTCCTGCTTGGTAATTCAACATTCCTAATCTAGGCTTAAATTTCTCTCTGATTTCTTTGATATTCTGGAAGACATATCTTGTTCCCCCCCCCCCACTTTTTTTGTTTTTCTC